GCGATTGACGGAAGGAAGAGGGTCCTGGGAAAGAAGGGGAAGAACGCAAAGTACCATACAACGTTGCATCCAGACCCATCAACAATTGATGGAGCTTCTCGGACTCCTGCCATTTTTCAGATTCTTCGTGGAAAGCAGCAGATCAACATGGACAGGATTGGAGAGGCTCGTAGTTATGAAGCTCCTCACACAAGAATTGTAATTGGCCATAGTAAGAAGCCATACTGAGACCCTTTCGTTTACAGTTGGCTAATTCAGTTTTGAGCTACTGAATACGGGGTCCGTTCATGACGCCGAAGCGTTCCCGGAGGTCAGACCAGAGTGTGGTAGCAACCTCCCGATGAGGAACCGTAGAACGGACAAAGGGATCCATGGAGTTTTTCAGCCACAACACCAATAACGAGTTGTTGGTCCACCAATCATCAAGGTCCGGCGAAGTGGCCGGCGGTTGAGGGATAGAACCGTCAACGAAACCGAACTTCTTACGGGCACGAAGGGCTATACGCACAGCACAACTCCACTCGTCATAGTTATCGAGTTTCAACTGGACTTGAGTGATAAGGCGGCCAGGATCATAAGGATTAATTGTTTTCCGGTAAGGAGGATCGACGGGAGGAACAAAGCCAGAAACTTCAGATTGTGACGTAAGAGGCAGAGTAGTAGATTTGCCACCATTTGCCATATTGCAAGGACGACGAGAAGAGCTTTACAGAGATACACGAATAAAAGCTTAACAGGAAGCTTAAGGTAGGCAGACACAAGAAAGCTTAACAAAAGCTTAAGGTAAACAGAAAGCACGAAGCTTAACAAAAGCTTAATTAGGAAGCAAATTAAAAAAAACTTGACTTATGAAAGCTTCACGAACAAACAGCAAGCTTGAGAGGATTGATACAAAAGAACGAATGGTCGGCCAAGGGTTTTAAAAGCCTGATTCCATGACAAAATAATATACGAGCGGCATAAATATTGTTGTTCTATTAATCGACTCCCAATCCGGGAGTATATATACACTACTACAAGGATTTTAGGGTTTACAATAAAACCCTAGAGACATATACAAAGACGATTATACCCTCCGATACATAGAAATATACATATACTCTAACAGATTAAGGGACTTCATTAGTTTGGGAGAATTTTACCAAGATATTGACGGGTTGTCTTCATAATCTGGGATGACTTTGAATGGCCAGCGTTTCATATCACTCGAAACCAAGTCATCACTAAATTTCCTACCAATTAACCTCTTAACATCTAAAAATTTGGAAAATGTACAAATTATTGCAATAAACACATATTGAAGTGAAATGAACATATTCAAGTTATATAAATCAGTTACCAGATTCAAGCCAACTTGATTGAAAGCTGCAGCTCCAATAAAATGCTCTTCATCTGCAAAAGTTACTCTGTTCATCTAAAAATTATTGCCCAATTTGCATTTTCAGCTTTAGTATAATTGATAGCAATCTCGTAGATGAAGCAAATTTCGTTAATGCAACCATCAAACAAGAAAGTACGAAGATAATTTGTCTATCCCGTGAAAAGAGTGCGGAAAAGTCACAGAAAAACGATCGTTTGTCTAAGAATTTCTATCTCTTAACTCAAACCAAGCAAAGAACACATAATCTATGAAAGATTTGAATTAAACAACAACCCACACTAAGAATAATAAGGATACCATTCAATATACTCGATCAGTCATCATTCAAGAAACTCAAGAAAGGTAGGAGCAAACAATGCTCAACTATGAAGGAATACTATTGATTAGTAATCTCCATAACCGACAAAGATATGCAACACATACACTATCTCAAAATGCTTATGCCAAAGCACAACTCGTCCAACAGAAGTAGGACAAACCCCACAAAGGAACTCATGAATACACACACTATGCATTCAAAAACCATAGCCAAAAGAAAGGCTCAACTCTCGAACTACTAGAAGTAGTATGAAAATAAGAAGTTTAGTTTTAAAACAATTCTATCAAGAAGCATACTTGAAAAAGAATGGTTTCTGCAAGATCAAAAGATCCAAGACAAGATGAAAACCCTCTTGGTTAAATCATACTTGACAAGAAAAATAGACACACCATTCAACAAAATTCCTCACAGAAAAACTCTCATTAGAGAAGACTCAAAATGACCACACACGGGTGCTTTAACTTTCGGCCATACCCCCTCTCCTATTTATAGGCTAGCAATTTTGGCCATAAGCACAGAAAAGAAGACCAACTAGGACTCTCTAATCTTATCTCACGCAGGAGTAGAATTAGAAGAGTATTTGATCTTTTTGACTCTATCTAAAATCTAGGAAACCTTATCTAAATGACTTATCCTCAAATAGGATAATACTTAGAAGGAATCTAAGACTCCTAATCAAAACACTCTAGCTTAATTCAGTCCACATGACTTATTTAACTAGCTAAAATTCGAAAATAAACTCCTAGACTAGATAATACTCTAAATCTCGCAAATATTGAAGTAAAATGTCTTGAACGCCCTTCCAAAATTGAAATATTGGTCTTGTGCCCCTCAAGTTGTAGATAACTCCAATTTACTCCAAAACTTGTAGAATTGTCTTTATTGACTCCAAAAGAATGGAAAAACACTTGAAACAATTGAGATAGTTTGCACCCTATCCAATTGTGTAGCAATGGACTCAATCTTGTACACTTTGATCAAATAGGCAGTCTATTCAAGAACCTAAATTATTCTTCTCTCTAGCTTGATCAATGATCTTCATGGAGCACCTAGAGTCAAACTCCCTTGATACTCTTGAGCACTTATTTGCATGAGTGAATCATCTCCTTTGGTTTGAACCCCAAAGTTAATGACATTCTCATCATCTTGATCATAGCTCTTTTGAACCAACTCCCTATCACATAAGTAGTCAAGATCCATCCTTTCTTCCTTGATTGGCCTGTAAAGTAAACTTGGCATCCCAAAACTAGAATGACGGACTAGCTCATTCTCCTCACTAGGAGAATCACCATGGAAGGCTATATAATTCTCATCAATAATTTGAACTAGAAATGAAAATCCAAAATGGACAATAATTTTGGGACAAAGGGGTACATAAGAAGGTGCTGCCTTGTTCATTTCCTATGATCTCAACTCGATCGCGTCTCTAGCACCCAACGCAGGAATACGTTGTGCCCCGATTGATTACTATTGTTGGATTCTGAACCATTGTGCTAATAATTCTTTCTCGGTGATGAAGATGGTTTGATGTACAGTAGAACTTCTATAAATTAATAGTGTCAAGATCATGAAAATTTATTAATTTAGCGAATTATTAAATAATCGATAAATTAATAAATTATTAATTTAAAGAATTTCTATAAGAAAAAAAAGAACCGTCACTGGATTACGTAATTTGTTGTTGTCTTTATATCTGAATTAATTAAGTAACAAAATTATTCTGAATACTAAATATTCATACGTAGTTCATATCATCTCCAGAGACTAAAAAATAAGTATCAATAGTTCATATTGTACTAAATGTTTATAGTTATATTATTATTTTTTTATTTTAGGGTATTTATTAATTTATGATATTGTTGAGACCTATAAATATATAGGAGATTTTTGAAAACATTATTATTTTATCACTTTATCGATTTTTTCACTTTTTGTACTGGTCTCAAGTTGGGATCGGAAAAAATTATTAATTTATAGACTTTTAATTTAGTGACGTTGTATTGTATTTATAATCAGGTGGTCTAAACTGTATTTATGTGTGGCTTTTGTGTTTCCAATGAATTATATACGTGGGCTTGTGTCAACTCTCAACATGAAAAGCAAGACAAGATATAAGATGGCAGTCTTGTGTTTATTAATGGGCCATGTTTTAATAATCTTTCACTAATTAGATTTTACTTTAAAGTTCGAATTTCTCCTCTTCAATGCAACAATTTTTTTTTTTTAGTTGTGTTGTGTTCACCTTATTTTTATTTTTTATTTGTGACTTTTTGCTTTGTTTTTTTGGTTAAAAAGCATTCTTATATCCAATTTACAGTTTATAAAAAATTGTAATGTTATGATTTATTCTTCTCAAATTATTTTTAGGAAACAGTTTAGGATTAGGAATAATGGTCGTCTCCAATCCACTTCCCTTTTAGATAAACTTTTTTTAAAGCTACAAATTAAGACAGTGGTCGACGTAGTTTGATTTTGATTCGCAATAACAATTCAACAATTTTTTTGTTAAATCTAAAAAATCTCCAATCGTGCTCATAGCATTAATAGAAAAACAAATTATAAATATCATGTTTTTCTTTTGAAAAATAAGTATATTATGTTAAAAATAACAAAAACCTATTAGAACATCAACATTTTAAATTTTTACATTTTAAGTGATTCAAATTCATAATTGGTTTGAATAAAAGACATAACTAAGTTGTTTTTTCAATTTTCTTCAAATTTTTAATCCGCATTTTTCATTTTTAAAAAATTTAATATTTTTTCATGAAAAAACAAAAACAAAAACAAGATCCGAACCAATGTTCTAACTTTCCACGCAATATGTGAGTATTGTTTGTAAAAATAACATTCAAAATACAATTGGCCGCGCGTCGTCGCGGGTAGGAAAAAACTAGCATTATTATCTATACGCTTATAGTCCAACTAGTTATTGTAGTATTTGTGTGCGTTGGTGAGACAAAGGTGACAGGCCTGTTTCCTAGTAAACACACCAATCAAATGAAAATGAAGCTTTGAAGTTTGTCGTCCCAGAGAGACATCCCTTGATTCCCATCTCATCTGACGTGTCCCCAAAACCATCTCAAGTCAATGGTTGAGCGTGGCTTCCATCCTACCCCTTCCCTAACAAAAAATCATTAAATTATGTATATAAAGGACATTTCCTTAGACTACTTTTTTTTTTCATATGTGTCCTACGTGTATGGCACTCAAATTAATCCGCACCGAGCTGGGTCAGTCTTCTTTTGGAGGGAAAACTCTCCCAATAATATTCTTTCCATTCACGAAACTCGAACCTGAGAACTAATCAAAACACCTAATCAAATGTTGGTAGACTACTTTTTCTTCAAACAAGAATTAGACTTATAAGCTTGGAAACATGCTTGACTTTACTTGTATACAACAATGAGTTGTCTTTTACTTTTTTCTTTTTTTTTCTCATCAGATACATACAAGTAAAGCAAGGTATATATGTTGAATAATAAAGTTAAAATAATAAAGTTCAACTTTTGTGAAAAGAGTTGCATGCATGGGACTATGCCTCCACAGCCCCGAGCAGAAGGAAACAAAAACAAAAAAAAGAAAAAAAAGAAAAGAAAATGTAAATGCAACTTTGCTACATCTGTATGCGTTGTTAGAATGTTGAATCCCAGTTTGCTTCGATCCAAAGCTGTTACGTTTAATGGAATCATTACTGGATTAATTAAAAATGGTGACTATACATTATTTCTCAGTAGTTACCCAGCTCCTCCTCTTCTCTGCATTAAGATCATCTTCCGATAGTAGTATATGATTTGTATCCTCCCTCTTTATATATGTATGCATACATTTTGCTGCTCCTATACAAATATTCATTCAATCAATTAATTTGAACAATAAATAGCTACAGCTAGCCAAAATATATATTGATGATGGAAAAATCATCATGGGTGGTAGAAGTGGGCGGTGATGACAATAATAAACTGTCAGAAATCATAGAAGCTGAGAAGAAGGATTGGGACAAGCATTCCATCTACAAACTCCCACATTGTGTGACCGACCTAAACGAGAAGGCCTACAAGCCTAGGGCCATCTCGTTCGGTCCGTACCATCACGGGGAGCCCAACTTAGCGGCAATGGAAGCTCACAAAAGTAGAGCCCTGATTCGGTTCCTGAATCGATCCCGGAAATGCATGGACTACTACATTCACGTGTTGGAAGGCGCGGTGGTGGAGGATTTGATGGATGCATATGATGGTTTGGATCCGAAATGGAGAGAGGATCCGAAAGGGTTCTTGAGGATGATGATACGGGATGGATGTTTCATGCTGGAACTGTTGAGGGCGTCGTCGGCGTTGTCGTCGTCTTTTGGAAATGATATTGGGGGACAAGGAGGAGGATATGCAGACAACGATCCAATTTTCAGTAACCACGGGAAGCTCCATATGATGCCTTACATCAAGCGGGATATGTTGATGCTTGAGAATCAGCTCCCAATGTTGCTGTTGACCACCTTGCTTTCGGAAGAAGAAGAGATGATCGACGAAAAGGTCGACGAGAAAGTGAACAAACTGATTGTGGAGTTTTGTTCGCTGGACAAACAGTGCTACTTGGAGTTGGGGAAATGCAAGCACGTTCTGGATGTGTACCGCAAGGTATTATTAGGGGATGATAACCATCCCAAGCTCGCAAAACTGCTGGCGTCGTCTTGGCTGCCAGAACGACCCACCACCGGTGACGACATCCTCCCGTCGGCAACGCATCTCTACGAAGCCGGGATTTCCATCCAAAAGAGCGGCACCGAGAGCATCAGGGACATTTCCTTCCACGCGGGCATCTTCAACGGCGTCCTCAGGATTCCTCCGCTGATCGTCGACGACATCACGGAACCCTTGTTCCTGAACCTGATGGCGTTCGAGAGGTTCCACGTGGGAATAGGGAATGACGTGACCTCTTACATATCGTTCATGGTGGACCTCATCGACGACGAGCGGGACGTCAGCCATTTGCATTTCCGGGAGATCATTCTGAACGCCTGCGGCAGCGGAAGGGCGGCCGCCAAATTGATCAACTCACTGGGCAAAGATATATCCCTGGATCCCGACAGCCCGCTGTTTTCAGAGCGAAGCAAAGCCAGGAACTATTGCAAGCGGCGTTGGAATCGGTGGCGGGGGAATCTGGTGCATACTTATTTTAAGAGTCCCTGGACCGCCATCTCTTTGATTGCTGCCATCTTGCTCTTCGGTCTCACCTTCTTCGATGTTTTATTCAACAACATCATCTTCAATAAACAACAATCATGACACACATTGTATACGTTCCTACCTACTTCACTTACCCCTAGGTGAAATTTGCTTTCTTTTTTTTTATCAAATAAATGCACCAGATCATACAAGCGCTAATGCTTCGAATCCCCTCAAAGCTACAAAGTTAAGCGTACTTTTATACAAGAATAGTACTAGGATGAGTGATCCTCATAGGTACTCCTCTTTCTAGACCAGGTCTCTTAAATTCATTTATTACCCAAAACAATACTCCATGTGTCTCGAAAGTATTGCCTAGTTTGGTTTTTCATTTTTAGTTCAATTCATACTGAAAGTAAAATTTCAAACTGGATAATAATTTTCATACATTGAAAAGCCTTGTGAATTGCATCTTTAGCTTTCTGTTTTTTTAGTAAAAAGACGCGGTGTTTGTTTATGTTATGCGACTGAAATATTTATCAAACGCACAACTTGCTACATACTTCTTTCTGTGTTTTTCATCCTCAGCCTTATACTTTTTGGCTTCCTCTATCATCTTCCCAATTTCATCTCTTGATAATAAACTGCTTCCTCTTGTAATCCTAATGCTTTCCTATGCAAATGTGATCATATCCTTAGTAGAGACATTCAAAATGCCATTGGCTTGTAAATCAAAGCATATCTCGATATCAAGGACTCTCCTTGGGGCATTTTGAATGACCTTGCGGGTAAACTTACCTAACAAACTGTTATCGGATCAGGCTCTCACCTTCGAAAACTTTTATACCCAGAGAAGACTGATTGTCATGTATAGTAGTCATCTTTATTGTTGCTCTGGTAGGAATGGTCGTATTCCTTGGGATAGCGACCTCCATGACTTCTCCTATGAATTCAACACCTAGAGATAATGGGTTAACTTCCACAAGCACAAGTTCTTGAACCTTGTCATTTCCCTAACAGCTTAACATTGCTGCTTGAACAGTTGCACCATAAGTGACCACTTCATCTGGATCCATGTTCTTGCAAAGCTCCTTATCATGTAGCAAGTCTCATAACATATGCTGAACCTTCACGATCCTACTTGAACCTCCCACCATGACAACATCATCCACCATTTCCTTACTCATCTTGGCATCTGTAAGACACTTCTCAACCGTCTCCATGCATTTCGTAAATAAATCCGAGTTCAGATCCTCGAATTTGGACCGGCTAATAATGCCTCTGAACAAGGAATCAACCTCGATTCTTGTATGAGAATAAGTCGACAGGCCATGGACCCTTTTCGCCCTCTCGCAAGCTGTTCTTAGCTTCCTAATTGCTCTAGGATTTTTGCTGATATCCTTTTGGTGCATCCTTTGGAATTCCTGAATGAAGTGATTCACCATCCTATTGTCAAAATCCAGTCCTCCCAGATGAGTATCACCAGAAGTGGCCTTGACTTCAATATGACCATTCTCAATGGTCAGAGCTGAGACATCAAAAGTACCACCACCACGATCAAAAACCAGAACATTTATCTTTCTTTGATGACGAAATTGTTGTCAAGATAGTAAGCAACACGTTGATTCCCGCTACCTCGCCAGCATCCATGGTTGCTTGCCGTTGCAAATGATTGAAATAAGCAGGGACTGTAACAACCGCATCATTCACGATTGACCCAATATATTCCTCTGCAATCTGATTCATCTTCATTAGGACCATTGAGGAAATTTCTTCATTTGCAAAATGCTTCTCCTCACCTTTGTAGGTATCTACAATTGTTGGGTTGTCTCCAAAATCTGGGATGACTTTGAATGGCCAGAGTTTCTGGTATCACTCTGAACCGAGTCATCAGTGAATTTCCTACCAATCAACCTCTTAACATCTGAAAATTGAGGAAAACGTAAAAAACTACAAATTATTTCCATAAACATATATTGAAATGAAATCAACATATTGAACTGGAATAAATCAGTTACCAAAGATAGTGCTGACGGGATTCAATCCAACTTGATTGAAAGTTGCATCTCCAATGAAACGCTCTTCATCTGTAAAAGCTACATAAGACGGTGTAGTTCGATTGCCTTGTTCATTTGCTATGATCTCAACTCGGTCGTGTTTCCATTACCCAATGCAGGAATACTTTGTGACCAGATCGATTCCCATAGTTGGATTCCCAACCATCGTGCTAATTCTTTCTGGAATTCTCGTTAACGAAAACGGTTTGATGTATTTATAATCAGGTTGTGTAAACTGAACAGCCATTTCATTAAAGTGTTAAAAAGACTGATTGTAGCATTCAGCTTTCCTTATTCATGGTATGTGAATGCAGTTCATATCTTGGAGGGATGATTCTACCTTGATGGTCTCTAACTACGAAACGCCCCCAATAAGATAACTAGAGTGTTGATACGGAAGCATCATGGGGTGAGCATTCCCAATGGTCCATCAGCACTTGCAGTCAAAGAAGCAGCATAGGGTCTCCTTAGAAAGTCAACAAGCAGCAGGGAATCAACCTTGATTCTTGTTTGAGAATAAGTCGACAGTACCCTTTTCGCCCTCTCACAAGCTTTTCTTAGCCTCCTGATTGCTCTAAGCTTTTCCTTGATATCCATTTGGTGCATCCTCTTGAATTCTAGGTGCAAAATGTTTTTCCTCACCTTTGTAATTAACAACATTGTTGGGTTGTTTTCATAATATGGGATGACTTTGAATGGCAAGAGTTTTATATCACTCTGAATAGACTCATCAGTAAATTTCCTACCAATCAACCTCTTAACATCTGAAAATTGTGGAAAATGTACAAATTATTGCAGTAAATACATATTGAACTATTGAAGTAAAATTTACATATAGAAGAGAAATAAATCAGTTACCAAAGATTGTGTTGACAGGATTCAAGCCTGCATCTCTAATGAAACGCACTTCATCTATAAAAGCTACATAAAATGGTGTAATTTGATTGCCTCGTTCATTTTCTATGATCTCAATTAGGTCGTGTTTCCAATACCCAATTCAGGAATACATTGTGCCCAGATCGATACCTATCGCTGGATTCCAAACCATTGTGCTAAGAAATCTTTCTGGAATTCTGGTTAACGAAAATGGTTTGATGTATTCATAATCAGGTTGTCTAAACTGAACAGCCATTTCATGGAAGTGTTAAAAAGACTGTTAAACGACCAATTCATTGATGGTAGCATTCAGCTTTCCTTATTCATGGTATGTGAATGCAGTTCATATCTTGGAGGGATGATTCCAATTTGATGCTTTCTCTAACTACGAAACGCCCATTATGAGATAACAAGAGTGTTGATATTGCTATAATCATTAAAGTGTTGTAGTACGTAATAATATAATGAGTTAATAGCATAATTCCAATTCATTGAACACCATTGGTTCATCAATGAGTTTAAATTTTCTCCTTTTTTTTGAATTTTTTATTCGTTTCTCTTTCTTTTCTTTTCTTTTCTTTTTTTTTCTTTTGGGAATTCCATTGTTAAACTTAATTTCAATTAATTAGTGTTTTGGTCTAAATTCACAAAACCGTAATGAAAAAATAACAAATTATAGGGATATCACTTCTAAGTGTGTTAAATATAATCAATCAAGTTTGAGTTCTTGCTTCCAAGAGTGTGTTAAGAAGAATTACACTTCTCAAAAATACAAAAAGCAGAGAATATATGACGAAAGAAAGAATTAAATAAATATAAGAAAAATAAAGCACCTTATTAATTTAGTGCAGCCTATCAATTGACAATGATTAAGTACTCTCCTCCAACAAATGGTCTAGAGAGATCGTGACTTCACCAATTCTCCTTCAACAAATGGTCTAGAGAATCAATGGCTTCCAAGTTGACGGCCTTTATCTAACAAATGGAGCACCGAAACTTGGAACTTCCGAACTATCAGCCTATATCCAACAAATGGAGCACTGAAACTTCTAATTTTTCTTCCAATAAATGGTACGGAAAAACTAAATTTGAGAAGAATCTCAATTTTAATCGATGAAAAATAAAACTACTTTACAATGAGGTGGCTAATGCCTTTAAATAAGAAAACGACGAACAGAAAATAAACCCTAATCTCAACTAAATAAAATAACTAAGATACCCTTTAAATAAATCCTAATCTATTCCTAATCCCACGCCTCCATCATTCTCCTAGGGTGAGAAAAATTTCGTTCTCGAGTTTTAGTGAGAGGTTTTGCCCAAGTTGACAAAATATAACCTGTTGGCCCAAGTTGATTGCGCTGCTGACAGCCCAAAGTGTCGTAAGCAGGCCTGTTGGTATAACTCGCGGGTCAAAACCCGATCTGAGAACACAACCCGCTTCAGAATCCCGCCCGAATCCTAGCAGACGTGCCCCATTACTTGGAACGATTTCCAAACGATGGCCACGCCATCATTGTTGTCCGTTGAACTCTGCTCCAAGCATCAAATCGTGGGAGAGAGAATTAATATATACCGATGTCAGAAGCTCTAAAGTTTTTTTTCAAAACGTCTTCTTCAAAAAATATATAGCAGAGCTCGCTATTTTTGTCTTTTCGTATATCACTTGCCACCGTCCAGCAGTAAAGCTTTATTTCGTTGCCGGAGATTTTGGCATTTTCCGTCAACAAAAGAGATTCACCGCATCGGGCAAACAAAATTCAGAAGAACACCCTCGAACTCCAACAATAGTTAGTCCTTTAACTCTTGCATGTTTTTAATGTTTGCCTAGGCCTGTCTTTTTACATAAATTTTGTCATATTTTCATATACTATGGTAGATATGGCTGTTCAAACAGTTTTCGACTTTGCATCAACCATAAACTCTGCTAATAAAGCCAAGGCCATAGCCAAAAAGAACGATTTCCTAGCAGATCTAGAATATCAAGCACCTTAAGGCACAGAAAGGACTACTACTCCTCTAGAGGGGAAAATAACTATATATGGTAGGTTTATGGTTTTAGGGATAAAATTCTCCCTTTACCCTTTGTTTGGAGATATAGTTCAATACTATAAGATTCTCCTTGCTCGATTTATGCCAAAATTAATATCGGCAGTCCTCGGATTTGCAAGGCTTTGCGAGTTGAAGAAGGTTGAAATTCAATTACTCGTGTGGAGGTATTTTTTCAAAGTCTATGTCCCCTCGACGAAATACAAAGACTGGTATAACGTAAAGAAGAATCCCAAGTCAGGTGCTGGGTAGATAATAGAACTCTTCAACGGTTCTCCATAACGGAAACCAAATTATTTATTTGTACAGGCTCCAGAGGATTTTTGCGTGGCCTGGGATTATCGTGAATCCCTGGAGATGGGTGATATAGCTGATGTCTTGTCTAAATCTTCCCTGGGGATGGGTGATATAGTTGATGTCTTGTCTAAATCTTACAAGGCCAGGATCAAGCAGTACAGGGATGACATTACTATTCTGGAATACTTCAAAAAGTATCTCAAATGGACAAAAGTGCAGCAGTGCATTCCCCCAATTCCTGTCAAGGATAAAAAAGGTACTAACTCCTCTTGTGTATTCCTTTTGTTCTAGGTTATGTTGTCGAGCAAGAACACCGTTGGCTTGTTTGGTGATTCCAAGATTTTTGACATTAAAAATTCAGATGATGAAGGATCTTCAAGCAAGGTCAGCAAGAAGAGGAAGTTGAGGAGGCTAGTGAAAGTGTCAGAAGCAGGCGCTAAGTCAAAAAAAGAAGAAGCAGGCTCCTCCAGTCGAGAAAGAAGGTCTAGTCGAGGAAGCTAAGCCCGTCGAAGAAGACAAGATCGTTGAGGAGGATAATCCCGTCGAGGAGGATAATCCTATCGAGGGCAATGTCCCTCCAGAGAAAGATGGGAATCCGGAAGCAGAACGAGACCCAAGTTGGTTTACAACATTTTCGCCTTCGCTATCTCGGAAGAAGGGCGCTGCTGAGGATCCAGACGCCTCTCCAGGGTCATCATCATACAGTGCAGCCGCCGCCATATTCTACTTTGGGGATGATAGAATTGAATGCCCCATAATAGAAGTGGTAGCCGAAACGATGACTGATGAAGAAGCCTTGAAAATGGTAAATGTTACCAACACAAATGTTTCCCGCATTCACTGCTTGTAACTAGTATTTCAATTTATACTAATCTCTTGCTTGTAATCTCGACAGCTAACCACCTCCTTGGCGAGCATCCTTATGCGCAAGAAGAAACTAATGGAGGAAATCTCCAATTTGGAGCTCGAGAAAGGGTTTCTTGATCATGAGAAAGCAATCCACGAGGAGGCAAAGAAGAAGGAGCAGTTAATGCGGGCTGCCAAGGAGGGAGAGCTAGCCACTGCCCAGGCCATGTATAAGGAACTCGAGGACAAACTGAAAGAATATGGAGAAACCCATATACCCAAAAACAGAGTTGCAGAAATGGATGACTACATTTTGGGCCAGAATGATGCCCACTGGAGGGATGCCCAATGTCATGGTGGGCATCAATGAAGCTATTGCACTAGGCGGCCATGGCGTGGCTGTTCCCGCTCTTGAAAGGATAGAATCTGGAAAGCCTTTCAATGCCGGCTGGCTACAACAATTTGTGAAACCACATCCTCAAAAAAACCTACATGAAGCAATGAAGAATGGGTTGATGCATCTTGGCACTGAACAACCCCCTTTGTTCGGGCCTTTGTGTAGCACTATCCCCCAAATGGGTTTACCCTTAGAAATCCCCTCCTTTGAAGGAGATGCCCCAACGGTGTTACCTGCTAAGCCTGGGGAAGAGATGCGGGTACCCGAGCTTGACCGAGATTTTATTGGTATCGAGCTAGTTTCTGATGAAGATTCCTCTGAGAAGGCCAAGGAGGATAAGGAAGAGGAGCGGGAGCCTGAAGTTGAGAAGGAACCGGCAGGCAAGAAAGAGGTTTCCTCAACTCAGACTCCTGTCGAGGGAACCAGTGAGAGCCAACCAAATATCCCGCCCAACCCAAATGTCGTATGAGCTCCTATCTTGTAACAGGATTTTCACTACTTGGGTTGTAGACCTTAGCTTTCTGTAGTAATTGCTAAATGAATTTTATCAACTCGGAATTTACATAATGCCTTCTTCTTATCTTTGTTTCTGATGTATCCTTACTGATTATGTCAAGAGCCGTATTATGTCCATAATATGCATTTGATGATTCTTGAGGAGGATGAGATTAGACATTTCCCTATGTTTGCCATGATTTCATCAGCATTGAGAAAATTCGAGAATGTTCACAGCACCGCTATAGTAAGAGCCCTCGAGAAAGAGATTATGGACGCTGTTCAAGCTTATAATGTGCAGATACACTCTCGCTTGGTTCAACATTTTAAACAAAAAGAGGAGGAGTGGAGACGTCGATTCCATCAATACGATCTCGACTTCCAAAATTCCGTGATTCTAGAGGCGAGTATCAGCGACGAGATGAAAAAGCTGAAGGATGAAAATGTTTGATTGAGGAAGCGCGAGAAGATTGCGGTATCTCCATGGTTCCTCGAGAAATTCGAGCTGCTTGCCTTGGTCGAGAAACAGATAGAAGTCCGGACAGAACGTTTCAGAGCTGCAATTGATCTCCTAAAGAAAAGAACCAAAGAAGCAGAGTTCTACTCGAAACAAGTCACTGTTCTACATAACATATTGGCCGACAACGAAATCTCGCTGCCCATTTTTTATGATCTCAATCTAGATGATGAAGCAAAAGAAAGGATATCTGCTTAGAATCGACGAGCAAGATTGGGAGATCGTAGATCTAAAGGATAAGCTAAGCCATTGTATTAACCAGCTTAGGGCTGTTGGGTACTCTGGGGTTATTAAGCCATCCCGATTCAACCTTAGGGGAAAGAATCTTAAGATCTAAATGTATAATGATGTAAATTTCAGTCCCCGCACTCGATGTGAGGGTAATATATTCATCTCCAACTTCCCTCCCTTTTCTCGAGGAGTACCTTGGTAGTTTTGTACATACTGCTGAAACATTCCAGATTTGACTTCGGCTTCACCGCTTGGGTTCCCTGCAATCTTCCGTATCATGCTCGTGGTCTTTATGGTATTCACAGTACTGACTCGTGGACCTATTTGGGTTGTGAGCTAATGGTTTTGGAACGGGGAACTCGTCCTTGTGAATCTAAAATATTTCTCATCGAGGCTTCAAGAACGGGGTTAAGGTCCTGTCGAGTCTAGGCAAGGGCGGTTTATTCTCTGTCGTTGACTTGTACCTGTCCCTTCCACCTCGATCTCCTGCAAGCGAGAAGGATTCTTGTGATCGTTTGAGCGTCTGTTTGCGCTGGATATAGCTTTCCAGTGTGGCCCACATCTCCTGTGTGTTTCGAGGAGGTTTGGTGGTCAACTTCACTCGCGGGTGAGCAGACTTTCCCCATGGTTTGAGGCCTTGGATAAATCCATTTTGGACATCTCTGTCGTCAAGGTAATATACTTGGAGAGATTCTCGAGTAAAACGGCAATGGAAATCCAAGAGACTCTCGTTCTGTCCTTGCTTGATCGACGCCAAGTCAATTGACATTTTTGTAATTTGCTTGCTAGGGAAGAAGCGTGTGGCTAGTTTCACCGACAAGTCCTCGAATCATCAATGCTTCCTTCAGTAACTGTCCAAACCAACGTTGTGCTTGTCTATCGAGGAAGGATGGTAGAGTTTTGGCCATGAAGTCAAGAGATGCGTTCCGAATTCTCATGACCTGCACATAATTGTGCAAAAATCACTGTGGATCAGTGTCTCCCGAGTAGTTGACGAAGTCTTTTGAAAAGTCAAAGTCTCGAGGTTTTGTACAGTCTCGAATTCGTGGGACAAAAGGACTCTTATCCATGATCATTCCTATCATTCTTCTCATCGAGTCGCAGATAGACGGGTCTTTGTAGCCTTGGTTCTCTCGTTGTCGAGCAAATTGAGGATCTTCAGGATATGGAACGTCGTATCTCTGATGTCCATAAGGTAGGTATCTTGAGTTGTGGTGAGTATCACGGTGATCATGATAAGACCTCTCCGGAGGAGCTTTAGGCCCCAAATGAAAGTTAACGTTACCTCTTGGATGGGAGTCCCAATTCCTTCTCGACAACTCCTCGACACTCGGTGATCGTGGGCTAGGCTGGCGATGAGACTGTTTTTTTTGTTCATGTTCTTTTGCAAATCGCTCAATTGCTGCATAAACCTCCGGATTTGTTCGCTCGAGAGCATCCTAGAAGGTATCACCAGGTGTTCGAAGAGCTCAATTGAGGGCTTGCTTGTGAAACTCTTCTCTCCCTTCACCCAGGATTTTCCATTTTCCTCATCTCACCTCGAGGAGGACTAACGTCCTCATCGCCTCCTTCTCCTCGACCAGATCTTCTAGCTCTTGATCCGTGGATTCCGAGAGGCCAAGCAAACAACAACGTTGGTATTCCTCTAGTATATATTTCTTTTTCCTCTGGTTAAAGGAATTGTTGTCTTTCAAATTCTTTAATTTCGTTTCGATCTCGGCTAGTCGCTATTTTTGGTATGGATCAGGAACTTTGCGATGGGTTTCCGGATCTCCCTGCACCTCACCTCCATGACTAGTTGGTTTTGTGGGGGTTTTCTTTCTTTTCGACTGCCGGTCATTTCTCTTCTGCTTCTGCCTCTCTTGGAATCCCGCTAGGATTTCATCATTGTTGGGACTTTCACGCCTACCGGTTGATGCGGTACGGGATTGAGGATTGAGGGTCTTGGAAAACCCCTAACTTGGAGTGGTGGCAGTAGATCGAAAAGGTTCTGAAAGCTTGGGAAAGCTTTGTGACACAAACCCTAATTCTCATGTCCCACTGGGCGTGCCACTTGACGATGTCGGGAATTGCGCCTCCAGCTTGATGGTGGAACTCCAATTAGGGTTTCCTGTAAAACAGAGCCTCAGGGCCTCCCGAGGGTAGACAGTCAAAGCTTAAGTCGAAAAATAGGGTTGTGAAATAATGTGTATATGTGAATTGGTGCTAGAATTAGCGTACCTCAATTGTGGTGCCTTCATCCCTATTTATATGCATAGGAATACCCTAAGAGAACCCGAATCCTACTAGGGTTTAGTCATGTTGCCGCCCTATTGGAGTCGGTTAATGGGCATGTCCAATATCGGTGGTGGATATGGACTCGTCATCTGCCATTGATCCGAAGAGAGACCCGTAACAACAGTTTTATCACTGTTGGTTACCACCGTACCAGCAAAGTGAGAACCAGAGACAACAGCAACATTAGCACGACCGGATGAACCACCCGAACTGCGGCCAAAAGCATTACCTCGGCTGGTCGAATCACGACCGGTTGACCCACCACGACCACCTAAACCACGCCCAGTCGACCCATGACGTGAACTGGGCCACCAATCCATGTAACCAAGCAAATCAAAACAACTCGAAACCTCGTGACCCGGCTTAGAGCAATGAGAGCAGACAACATCCTTATCTTTTCATTCAACGGTTTTGGGATCAAACCAAGAGCTGGGAGTAGGAAGGAGAGGTGGACGCATCGACTGAACAAAGAAACTCATCACTTCGCCGCCGGTGTCTTCGGAAGAAATTGACAAGAACCGAAGTTGTTCCTCTTGAACAAGCAAGGTGTAAGCGCGATTGACGGAAGGAAGAGGGTCCTGGGAAAGAAGGGAAGAACGCAAAGTACCATACAACGTTGCATCCAGACCCATCAACAATTGATGGAGCTTCTCGGACTCCTGCCATTTTTCAGATTCTTCGTGGAAAGCAGCAGATCAACATGGACAGGATTGGAGAGGCTCGTAGTTATGAAGCTCCTCACACAAGAATTGTAATTGGCCATAGTAAGAAGCCATACTGAGACCCTTTCGTTTACAGTTGGCTAATTCAGTTTTGAGCTACTGAATACGGGGTCCGTTCATGACGCCGAAGCGTTCCCGGAGGTCAGACCAGAGTGTGGTAGCAACCTCCCGATGAGGAACCGTAGAACGGACAAAGGGATCCATGGAGTTTTTCAGCCACAACACCAATAACGAGTTGTTGGTCCACCAATCATCAAGGTCCGCGAAGTGGCCGGCGGTTGAGGATAGAACTCACAACGAAACCGAACTTCTTACGGGCACGAAGGGCTATACGCACAGCACAACTCCACTCGTCATAGTTATCGAGTTTCAACTGGACTTGAGTGATAAGGCGGCCAGGATCATAAGGATTAATTGTTTTCCGGTAAGGAGGATCGACGGGAGGAACAGAGCCAGAAACTTCAGATTGTGACGTAAGAGGCAGAGTAGTAGATTTGCCACCATTTGCCATATTGCAAGGACGACGAGAAGAGCTTTACAGAGATACACGAATAAAAGCTTAACAGGAAGCTTAAGGTAGGCAGACACAAGAAAGCTTAACAAAAGCTTAAGGTAAACAGAAAGCACGAAGCTTAACAAAAGCTTAATTAGGAAGCAAATTAAAAAAAACTTGACTTATGAAAGCTTCACGAACAAACAGCAAGCTTGAGAGGATTGATACAAAAGAACGAATGGTCGGCCAAGGGTTTTAAAAGCCTGATACCATGACAAAATAATATACGAGCGGCAGAAATATTGTTGTTCTATTAATCGACTCCCAATCCGGGAGTATATATACACTACTACAAGGATTTTAGGGTTTACAATGAAACCCTAGAGACATATACAAAGACGATTATACCCTCCGATACATAGAAATATACATATACTCTAACAGATTAAGGGACTTCATTAGTTTGGGAGAATTTTACCAAGATATTGACGGGTTGTCTTCATAATCTGGGATGACTTTGAATGGCCAGCGTTTCATATCACTCGAAACCAAGTCATCACTAAATTTCCTACCAATTAACCTCTTAACATCTAAAAATTTGGAAAATGTACAAATTATTGCAATAAACACATATTGAAGTGAAATGAACATATTCAAGTTATATAAATCGATTACGATTCAAGCCAACTTGATTGAAAGTCAGCACTCAATAAAATGCTCTTCATCCGCAAAAGTTACTCTGTTCATCTAAAAATTATTGCCCAATTTGCATTTTCAGCTTTAGTATAATTGATAGCAATCTCGTAGATGAAGCAAATTTCGTTAATGCAACCATCAAACAAGAAAGTACGAAGATAATTTGTCTATCCCGTGAAAAGAGTGCGGAAAAGTCACAGAAAAACGATCGTTTGTCTAAGAATTTCTATCTCTTAACTCAAACCAAGCAAAGAACACATAATCTATGAAAGATTTGAATTAAACAACAACCCACACTAAGAATAATAAGGATACCATTCAATATACTCGATCAGTCATCATTCAAGAAACTCAAGAAAGGTAGGAGCAAACAATGCTCAACTATGAAGGAATACTATTGATTAGTAATCTCCATAACCGACAAAGATATGCAACACATACACTATCTCAAAATGCTTATGCCAAAGCACAACTCGTCCAACAGAAGTAGGACAAACCCCACAAAGGAACTCATGAATACACACACTATGCATTCAAAAACCATAGCCAAAAGAAAGGCTCAACTCTCGAACTACTAGAAGTAGTATGAAAATAAGAAGTTTAGTTTTAAAACAATTCTATCAAGAAGCATACTTGAAAAAGAATGGTTTCTGCAAGATCAAAAGATCCAAGACAAGATGAAAACCCTCTTGGTTAAATCATACTTGACAAGAAAAATAGACACACCATTCAACAAAATTCCTCACAGGAAAAACTCTCATTAGAGAAGACTCAAAATGACCACACACGGGTGCTTTAACTTTCGGCCATACCCCCCTCTCCTATTTATAGGCTAGCAATTTTGGCCATAAGCACAGAAAAAGAAGACCAACTAGGACTCTCTAATCTTATCTCACGCAGGAGTAGAATTAGAAGAGTATTTGATCTTTTTGACTCTATCTAAAATCTAGGAAACCTTATCTAAATGACTTATCCTCAAATAGGATAATACTTAGAAGGAATCTAAGACTCCTAATCAAAACACTCTAGCTTAATTCAGTCCACATGACTTATTTAACTAGCTAAAATTCGAAAATAAACTCCTAGACTAGATAATACTCTAAATCTCGCAAATATTGAAGTAAAATGTCTTGAACGCCCTTCCAAAATTGAAATATTGGTCTTGTGCCCCTCAAGTTGTAAATAACTCCAATTTACTCCAAAACTTGTAGAATTGTCTTTATTGACTCCAAAAGAATGGAAAAACACTTGAAACAATTGAGATAGTTTGCATCCTATCCAATTGTGTAGCAATGGACTCAATCTTGTACACTTTGATCAAATAGGCAGTCTATTCAAGAACCTAAATTATTCTTCTCTCTAGCTTGATCAATGATCTTCATGGAGCACCTAGAGTCAAACTCCCTTGATACTCTTGAGCACTTATTTGCATGAGTGAATCATCTCCTTTGGTTTGAACCCCAAAGTTAATGACATTCTCATCATCTTGATCATAGCTCTTTTGAACCAACTCCCTATCACATAAGTAGTCAAGATCCATCCTTTCTTCCTTGATTGGCCTGTAAAGTAAACTTGGCATCCCAAAACTAGAATGACGGACTAGCTCATTCTCCTCACTAGGAGAATCACCATGGAAGGCTATATAATTCTCATCAATAATTTGAACTAGAAATGAAAATCCAAAATGGACAATAATTTTGGGACAAAGGGGTACATAAAAAGGTGCTGCCTTGTTCATTTCCTATGATCTCAACTCGATCGCGTCTCTAGCACCCAACGCAGGAATACGTTGTGCCCCGATTGATTACTATTGTTGGATTCTGAACCATTGTGCTAATAATTCTTTCTCGGTGATGAAGATGGTTTGATGTACAGTAGAACTTCTATAAATTAATAGTGTCAAGATCATGAAAATTTATTAATTTAGCGAATTATTAAATAATCGATGAATTAATAAATTATTAATTTAAAGAATTTCTATAAGAAAAAAAAGAACCGTCACTGGATTACGTAATTTGTTGTTGTCTTTATATCTGAATTAATTAAGTAACAAAATTATTCTGAATACTAAATATTCATACGTAGTTCATATCATCTCCAGAGACTAAAAATAAGTATCAATAGTTCATATTGTACTAAATGTTTATAGTTATATTATTATTTTTTTATTTTAGGGTATTTATTAATTTATGATATTGTTGAGACCTATAAATATATAGGAGATTTTTGAAAACATTATTATTTTATCACTTTATCGATTTTTTCACTTTTTGTACTGGTCTCAAGTTGGGATCGGAAAAATTATTAATTTATAGACTTTTAATTTAGTGACGTTGTATTGTATTTATAATCAGGTGGTCTAAACTGTATTTATGTGTGGCTTTTGTGTTTCCAATGAATTATATACGTGGGCTTGTGTCAACTCTCAACATGAAAAGCAAGACAAGATATAAGATGGCAGTCTTGTGTTTATTAATGGGCCATGTTTTAATAATCTTTCACTAATTAGATTTTACTTTAAAGTTCGAATTTCTCCTCTTCAATGCAACAATTTTTTTTTTTTAGTTGTGTTGTGTTCACCTTATTTTTATTTTTTATTTGTGACTTTTTGCTTTGTTTTTTTGGTTAAAAAGCATTCTTATATCCAATTTACAGTTTATAAAAATTGTAATGTTATGATTTATTCTTCTCAAATTATTTTTAGGAAACAGTTTAGGATTAGGAATAATGGTCGTCTCCAATCCACTTCCCTTTTAGATAAACTTTTTTTAAAGCTACAAATTAAGACAGTGGTCGACGTAGTTTGATTTTGATTCGCAATAACAATTCAACAATTTTTTTGTTAAATCTAAAAAATCTCCAATCGTGCTCATAGCATTAATAGAAAAACAAATTATAAATATCATGTTTTTCTTTTGAAAAATAAGTATATTATGTTAAAAATAACAAAAACCTATTAGAACATCAACATTTTAAATTTTTACATTTTAAGTGATTCAAATTCATAATTGGTTTGAATAAAAGACATAACTAAGTTGTTTTTTCAATTTTCTTCAAATTTTTAATCCGCATTTTGCATTTTTAAAAAATTTAATATTTTTTCATGAAAAAACAAAAACAAAAACAAGATCCGAACCAATGTTCTAACTTTCCACGCAATATGTGAGTATTGTTTGTAAAAATAACATTCAAAATACAATTGGCCGCGCGTCGTCGCGGGTAGGAAAAAACTAGCATTATTATCTATACGCTTATAGTCCAACTAGTTATTGTAGTATTTGTGTGCGTTGGTGAGACAAAGGTGACAGGCCTGTTTCCTAGTAAACACACCAATCAAATGAAAATGAAGCTTTGAAGTTTGTCGTCCCAGAGAGACATCCCTTGATTCACATCTCATCTGACGTGTCCCCAAAACCATCTCAAGTCAATGGTTGAGCGTGGCTTCCATCCTACCCCTTCCCTAACAAAAAATCATTAAATTATGTATATAAAGGACATTTCCTTAGACTACTTTTTTTTTTCATATGTGTCCTACGTGTATGGCACTCAAACTAATCCGCACCGAGCTGGGTCAGTCTTCTTTTGGAGGGAAAGCTCTCCTAATAATATTCTTTCCATTCACGAAACTCGAACCTGAGAACTAATCAAAACACCTAATCAAATGTTGGTAGACTACTTTTTCTTCAAACAAGAATTAGACTTATAAGCTTGGAAACATGCTTGACTTTACTTGTATACAACAATGAGTTGTCTTTTACTTTTTTCTTTTTTTTTCTCATCAGATACATACAAGTAAAGCAAGGTATATATGTTGAATAATAAAGTTAAAATAATAAAGTTCAACTTTTGTGAAAAGAGTTGCATGCATGGGACCATGCCTCCACAGCCCCGAGCAGAAGGAAACAAAAACAAAAAAAGGAAAAAAAAAGAAAAGAAAATGTAAATGCAACTTTGCTACATCTGTATGCGTTGTTAGAATGTTGAATCCCAGTTTGCTTCGATCCAAAGCTGTTACGTTTAATGGAATCATTACTGGATTAATTAAAAATGGTGACTGTACATTATTTCTCAGTAGTTACCCAGCTCCTCCTCTTCTCTGCATTAAGATCATCTTCCGATAGTAGTATATGATTTGTATCCTCCCTCTTTATATATGTATGCATACATTTTGCTGCTCCTATACAAATATTCATTCAATCAATTAATTTGAACAATAAATAGCTACAGCTAGCCAAAATATATATTGATGATGGAAAAATCATCATGGGTGGTAGAAGTGGGCGGTGATGACAATAATAAACTGTCAGAAATCATAGAAGCTGAGAAGAAGGATTGGGACAAGCATTCCATCTACAAACTCCCACATTGTGTGACCGACCTAAACGAGAAGGCCTACAAGCCTAGGGCCATCTCGTTCGGTCCGTACCATCACGGGGAGCCCAACTTAGCGGCAATGGAAGCTCACAAAAGTAGAGCCCTGATTCGGTTCCTGAATCGATCCCGGAAATGCATGGACTACTACATTCACGTGTTGGAAGGCGCGGTGGTGGAGGATTTGATGGATGCATATGATGGTTTGGATCCGAAATGGAGAGAGGATCCGAAAGGGTTCTTGAGGATGATGATACGGGATGGATGTTTCATGCTGGAACTGTTGAGGGCGTCGTCGGCGTTGTCGTCGTCTTTTGGAAATGATATTGGGGGACAAGGAGGAGGATATGCAGACAACGATCCAATTTTCAGTAACCACGGGAAGCTCCATATGATGCCTTACATCAAGCGGGATATGTTGATGCTTGAGAATCAGCTCCCAATGTTGCTGTTGACCACCTTGCTTTCGGAAGAAGAAGAGATGATCGACGAAAAGGTCGACGAGAAAGTGAACAAACTGATTGTGGAGTTTTGTTCGCTGGACAAACAGTGCTACTTGGAGTTGGGGAAATGCAAGCACGTTCTGGATGTGTACCGCAAGGTATTATTAGGGGATGATAACCATCCCAAGCTCGCAAAACTGCTGGCGTCGTCTTGGCTGCCAGAACGACCCACCACCGGTGACGCCTCCCGTCGGCAACGCATCTCTACGAAGCCGGGATTTCCATCCAAAAGAGCGGCACCGAGAGCATCAGGGACATTTCCTTCCACGCGGGCATCTTCAACGGCGTCCTCAGGATTCCTCCGCTGATCGTCGACGACATCACGGAACCCTTGTTCCTGAACCTGATGGCGTTCGAGAGGTTCCACGTGGGAATAGGGAATGACGTGACCTCTTACATATCGTTCATGGTGGACCTCATAGACGACGAGCGGGACGTCAGCCATTTGCATTTCCGGGAGATCATTCTGAACGCCTGCGGCAGCGGAAGGGCGGCCGCCAAATTGATCAACTCACTGGGCAAAGATATATCCCTGGATCCCGACAGCCCGCTGTTTTCAGAGCGAAGCAAAGCCAGGAACTATTGCAAGCGGCGTTGGAATCGGTGGCGGGGGAATCTGGTGCATACTTATTTTAAGAGTCCCTGGACCGCCATCTCTTTGATTGCTGCCATCTTGCTCTTCGGTCTCACCTTCTTCGATGTTTTATTCAACAACATCATCTTCAATAAACAACAATCATGACACACATTGTATACGTTCCTACCTACTTCACTTACCCCTAGGTTAAATTTGCTTTCTTTTTTTTTATCAAATAAATGCACCAGATCATACAAGCGCTAATGCTTCGAATCCCCTCAAAGCTACAAAGTTAAGCGTACTTTTATACAAGAATAGTACTAGGATGAGTGATCCTCATAGGTACTCCTCTTTCTAGACCAGGTCTCTTAAATTCATTTATTACCCAAAAAAATACTCCATGTGTCTCGAAAATATTGCCTAGTTTGGTTTTTCATTTTTAGTTCAATTCATACTGAAAGTAAAATTTCAAACTGGATAATAATTTTCATACATTGAAAAGCCTTGTGAATTGCATCTTTAGCTTTCTTTTTTTTAGTAAAAGACGCGGTGTTTGTTTATGTTATGCGACTGAAATATTTATCAAACGCACAACTTGCTACATACTTCTTTCTGTGTTTTTCATCCTCAGCCTTATACTTTTTGGCTTCCTCTATCATCTTCCCAATTTCATCTCTTGATAATAAACTGCTTCCTCTTGTAATCCTAATGCTTTCCTATGCAAATGTGATCATATCCTTAGTAGAGACATTCAAAATGCCATTGGCTTGTAAATCAAAGCATATCTCGATATCAAGGACTCTCCTTGGGGCATTTTGAATGACCTTGCGGGTAAACTTACCTAACAAACTGTTATCGGATCAGGCTCTCACCTTCGAAAACTTTTATACCCAGAGAAGACTGATTGTCATGTATAGTAGTCATCTTTATTGTTGCTCTGGTAGGAATGGTCGTATTCCTTGGGATAGCGACCTCCATGACTTCTCCTATGAATTCAACACCTAGAGATAATGGGTTAACTTCCACAAGCACAAGTTCTTGAACCTTGTCATTTCCCTAACAGCTTAACATTGCTGCTTGAACAGTTGCACCATAAGCGACCACTTCATCTGGATCAATGTTCTTGCAAAGCTCCTTATCATGTAGCAAGTCTCATAACATATGCTGAACCTTCACGATCCTACTTGAACCTCCCACCATGACAACATCATCCACCATTTCCTTACTCATCTTGGCATCTGTAAGACACTTCTCAACCGTCTCCATGCATTTCGTAAATAAATCCGAGTTCAGATCCTCGAATTTGGACCGGCTAATAATGCCTCTGAACAAGGAATCAACCTCGATTCTTGTATGAGAATAAGTCGACAGGCCATGGACCCTTTTCGCCCTCTCGCAAGCTGTTCTTAGCTTCCTAATTGCTCTAGGATTTTTGCTGATATCCTTTTGGTGTATCCTCTGGAATTCCTGAATGAAGTGATTCACCATCCTATTGTCAAAATCCAGTCCTCCCAGATGAGTATCACCAGAAGTGGCCTTGACTTCAATATGACCATTCTCAATGGTTAGAGCTGAGACATCAAAAGTACCACCACCACGATCAAAAACCAGAACATTTATCTTTCTTTGATGACGAAATTGTTGTCAAGATAGTAAGCAACACGTTGATTCCCGCTACCTCGCCAGCATCCATGGTTGCTTGCCGTTGCAAATGATTGAAATAAGCAGGGACTGTAACAACCGCATCATTCACGATTGACCCAATATATTCCTCTGCGATCTGATTCATCTTCATTAGGACCATTGAGGAAATTTCTTCATTTGCAAAATGCTTCTCCTCACCTTTGTAGGTATCTACAATTGTTGGGTTGTCTCCAAAATCTGGGATGACTTTGAATGGCCAGAGTTTCTGGTATCACTCTGAACCGAGTCATCAGTGAATTTCCTACCAATCAACCTCTTAACATCTGAAAATTGAGGAAAACGTAAAAAACTACAAATTATTTCCATAAACATATATTGAAGTGAAATCAACATATTGAACTAGAATAAATCAGTTACCAAAGATAGTGCTGACGGGATTCAATCCAACTTGATTGAAAGTTGCATCTCCAATGAAACGCTCTTCATCTGTAAAAGCTACATAAGACGGTGTAGTTCGATTGCCTTGTTCATTTGCTATGATCTCAACTCGGTCGTGTTTCCATTACCCAATGCAGGAATACTTTGTGACCAGATCGATTCCTATAGTTGGATTCCCAACCATCGTGCTAATTCTTTCTGGAATTCTCGTTAACGAAAACGGTTTGATGTATTTATAATCAGGTTGTGTAAACTGAACAACCATTTCATTAAAGTGTTAAAAAGACTGATTGTAGCATTCAGCTTTCCTTATTCATGGTATGTGAATGCAGTTCATATCTTGGAGGGATGATTCTACCTTGATGGTCTCTAACTACGAAACGCCCCTAATAAGATAACTAGAGTGTTGATACGGAAGCATCATGGGGTGAGCATTCCCAATGGTCCATCAGCACTTGCAGTCAAAGAAGCAGCATAGGGTCTCCTTAGAAAGTCAACAAGCAGCAGGGAATCAACCTTGATTTTTGTTTGAGAATAAGTCGACAGTACCCTTTTCGCCCTCTCACAAGCTTTTCTTAGCCTCCTGATTGCTCTATCCATTTGGTGCATCCTCTTGAATTCTAGGTGCAAAATGTTTTTCCTCACCTTTGTAATTAACAACATTGTTGGGTTGTTTTCATAATATGGGATGACTTTGAATGGCAAGAGTTTTATATCACTCTGAATAGACTCATCAGTAAATTTCCTACCAATCAACCTCTTAACATCTGAAAATTGTGGAAAATGTACAAATTATTGCAGTAAATACATATTGAACTATTGAAGTAAAATTTACATATAGAAGAGAAATAAATCAGTTACCAAAGATTGTGTTGACAGGATTCAAGCCTGCATCTCTAATGAAACGCTCTTCATCTATAAAAGCTACATAAAATGGTGTAATTTGATTGCCTCGTTCATTTTCTATGATCTCAATTAGGTCGTGTTTCCAATACCCAATTCAGGAATACATTGTGCCCAGATCGATACCTATCGCTGGATTCCAAACCATTGTGCTAAGAAATCTTTCTGGAATTCTGGTTAACGAAAATGGTTTGATGTATTCATAATCAGGTTGTCTAAACTGAACAGCCATTTCATGGAAGTGTTAAAAAGACTGTTAAACGACCAATTCATTGATGGTAGCATTCAGCTTTCCTTATTCATGGTATGTGAATGCAGTTCATATCTTGGAGGGATGATTCCAATTTGATGCTTTCTCTAACTACGAAACGCCCATTATGAGATAACAAGAGTGTTGATATTGCTATAATCATTAAAGTGTTGTAGTACGTAATAATATAATGAGTTAATAGCATAATTCCAATTCATTGAACACCATTGGTTCATCAATGAGTTTAAATTTTTCTCCTTTTTTTTTGAATTTTTTTTATTCGTTTCTCTTTCTTTTCTTTTCTTTTCTTTTTTTTTTCTTTTGGGAATTCCATTGTTAAACTTAATTTCAATTAATTAGTGTTTTGGTCTAAATTCACAAAACCGTAATGAAAAAATAACAAATTATAGGGATATCACTTCTAAGTGTGTTAAATATAATCAATCAAGTTTGAGTTCTTGCTTCCAAGAGTGTGTTAAGAAGAATTACACTTCTCAAAAATACAAAAAGCAGAGAATATATGACGAAAGAAAGAATTAAATAAATATAAGAAAAATAAAGCACCTTATTAATTTAGTGCAGCCTATCAATTGACAATGATTAAGTACTCTCCTCCAACAAATGGTCTAGAGAGATCGTGACTTCACCAATTCTCCTTCAACAAATGGTCTAGAGAATCAATGGCTTCCAAGTTGACGGCCTTTATCTAACAAATGGAGCACCGAAACTTGGAACTTCCGAACTATCAGCCTATATCCAACAAATGGAGCACTGAAACTTCTAATTTTTCTTCCAATAAATGGTACGGAAAAACTAAATTTGAGAAGAATCTCAATTTTAATCGATGAAAAATAAAACTACTTTACAATGAGGTGGCTAATGCCTTTAAATAAGAAAACGACGAACAGAAAATAAACCCTAATCTCAACTAAATAAAATAACTAAGATACCCTTTAAATAAATCCTAATCTATTCCTAATCCCACGCCTCCATCATTCTCCTAGGGTGAGAAAAATTTCGTTCTCGAGTTTTAGTGAGAGGTTTTGCCACGATCAAAAGGAAAATTAATGGACTTCTTCCAGCTAATGAGGCACTTTCTTGGCTTCAAGGCGCTAAAAGAAAGCAGAATGACGTCCCAAATCATTATTATGTGTAAATTCGGCCTCACCGAAGAGATTCCAAATGAGAAGTTTGCATTAGCTCCCAAAACCAATAAAGTAGTTAACTTCATAGAGAAGTCAATTACTTGTAGATAGCATCCATCAAATTCTGTATCAGGAATATAAAGGACCTCCCAATTTTTTATGTCTCAAACTCCAGAAAAACCCTTGAGTTAAATTGCAACATTGCATAGTGTCCGAATAACAACACTAGCAGTAGGTAAGTTGAGGTGACCCGTATCATGAGAATGAGTTTTGATTCCCAACTCCAATTCCTGTCCATTTTCATAATTGTATTGCAATGGTTTGGAGATGTAAAGCAACTCATATGATGTATCAATTAGATCCAATATGCTGGTTGGAAAGTGCTTATCAGAAGCCAAGTGCAAATGACTCATAAGGCTAAAACAACCTTTGGCCCTTCAGTAGAAACCAAGCAAAATGAATTTTGGCCATTTTTTATGTCCTCTTAATCCTCATCCGGGTAAACATCAAATTTTGGTGGAAAAGTCCAATTTAAACTACGGTTTGCGCACGGATGAGATCCAATTCACGTGTGAAAATTTTGTGACAAAGTTCAACATCCTTGGGTAACCTTCAAGCTTGTTCCTGATTTGGTGACATCAACATCAAGCAAATTCAAGAAATAAAATCCTTGAACCATCGAAAGCGTTTGGTCAATATCACAACCACAACGAAGGAAAATGATTGATTAATATATCCAATTTGAGCAGTTAAAAATACTCCAAGGGCAAAAGAAACAACACGCACGCAAGAATCCCCAAACTTGGCCACTTAATACTAGCAAGTCAGTCACAAAACTTTGTAATGATCAATTAACAAAGAGAATCAATACTGATTGATTAATACAACCCAGACATACAAAGGCCACCGACGAACTCAAAGAGCACTAAAATAACGAAATCTAAGGAGTTCATCAATAGCATCCAATAAATTCGGTCGGACCAAAAAGCATATCAAATCACAACGAACGGCAGTGCATATAGAAATATGAGAACAACTTAAAAATAAAAAGAAACCAAACTGTAGTCAGAACTGTGATCAATCCAGGAAAGAACGCAGTTCTGATGATGTGGTGCAGCCTATCAATTGACAATGATTCACTACTCTCCTCCAACAAACGGTCGAGAGAGATTGTGACTTCACCAATTCTTCTCTAAGAAATGGTCCAGAGAATCAATAGCTTTCAAGTTGACGGCCTTTATCCAACAAATGGAGCACCGAAGCTTAGAACTTCCGAACTATCAGCCTATATCCAACAAATGGAGCACCGAAACTTGGAACTTCTAATTTTTCTTCCAACAAATGGTACGGAAAAACTAGGTCTAAGAAGAATCTCAATTTTGATCGATTAAAAAGAAAACTACTTTATAATGAGCCAGCTAATGCCTTTAAATAAGAAAATGACGAACAGAAAATAAACCCTAATCTCAACTAAATAAAATAACTAAAATACCCTTTAAATAAACCATAATATATTCCTAATATTACGCCTCCATCACTTACTATACAAAAACAAAATTGAGTGAGGGAAAGCAACTAAAAGTATACTTTGGGTAGCCGTAGACTATAATGAAGTAGGTAGCTAACCATGTGTTAGTGACTATTGTTCCAGCTCGAACAAAATACATAAACATATGATTAGTAAGTAATAATATAAATAAACATTAACATAATAATAATAATAAAACACAGAGACATGCTAAATTCAAGAGCAATCGTGGCCGGGTTAATGCACGGAGATCTCTTTTATTCAAGCCACTCGCTGTAATAATTGGTACAGCAGGTTCACTCCGACTTGCCACCCCCATAATACAACAACCCAACCACTCTTGTTGTATTCCCAATAATTTGCATTTTTGTTGAGAATCTAAAAATCCTTAATACCGTTATTTTTATCAAGATATATAATGATTTTTTAGGATATTTTTATCTAAAGGTAAAACTGAACCCATAATGCTAAAAACTAGTTCTATATATACTATCAACATCAACATGTCTCCTTTAGCATCATAACTAAATTAAACCTCAAAATTAAATTATAGATCCATTGGATCAAAAGCTTTCAAGGAAAAATAACATTCTTTTTTGCAAAGTAAAAGTTGCCGACTATATTATTTAAATATTTTATTAAAATATCCAACAATCTCCCTTTTATTTTAAATAAATCAAAGTTTGGCCCAACTATCTTGGCAACTATAGGTACCGATGCCTTATATCTACATTTAGAGTAAAAGCCAATCCTATCCCACTGCCAGCAGTGAACTATGGTCTTGA